CGTTGCCGGCCCTCTATACCTTCCTCCTCCCCTCTCGCCACCTTCTACCATCATGGACCCACCGCACCTCACCTTCTTGAAAGTCTTCATTATTTTTGCATGTTTTCAATTTCTAAGTTGTTTCTCACTCATACTAAGATTTATGTTCATGAATAGCTTAAATTCATATGTATTAACAATATAACAATTCATATGTATTAACAATATAACATCAACGTATTTTAGTTGTATCGACAAATGTTGTTTATATTTAATTTATAATTAGATAATACATGTCAATTATATATTGTATTTTATAAATAATCATTTATTTTTAATGAAAAATTAATTACTTTTATCCAGGATGTATGTCCCTAATTGCCTAATATTTTTGTTTTTCGTAGCATATACTTTTCCAGAAAACTTGATTATTTTAGTTTATAATTTAATGCATTTTGACAATATACTGTACAAGTTATCACTAAAAAAAACCTTGTTTACGATTTTTGTTGGGCAAAGAGTCCCACCACCAACAATTTGGGATAAATCAGAACACCGAAAGTACTGAAAATAATTTTTTAATTCGATGGTCAAATGGTTGAAATACGTAAGATAGAAGCATCAAAAATAGATATATTTTTAATCCAATGGTCAAAACTAAAAGTCGATTCGCACTCACCTTTTTTATAGTAAACTTCTTAATATGTACCAACAATTATTTATTTGCCAATTTGGGTTGTTAAATTATTCGATTTAGTATTATTATTATTGGTGTTTTTTTTTTTTTTTTTTTTTTTGGGGGAGAGAGAGAGAGAGAGAGAGAGAGAGAGAGAGAGGGGGGGGTGGATTAGTTGTTTTTTATCCATATATATAATATATAATTTCAAACAAAACCCTCTATAGTTTATACAAACTTATAACAAAAAGAATTTATTGAACTATCAAATTGTCTTTCTAATTATCAAAATTGAATTATTAACTTATTAAAAATGTACGAGCTGTATCGAAGAACATGTCCCCTTTTCTTTGCCTTATCGAAACCCTAAACCATTGAATTTGCCTTGTTTACTCCTTTTGTCTTATGTTTGTCCAATTTAACCCAAAATATAAAAAATTATCTTATATGGCATTTTTTACAACATTATTATTCTTTTAACTAAAGTTTTATTTTAAAAATAACAATAACATTTGAAGTGTTTATGTTATGAATTTTTAATCGATTAAGAACTCAGTCACACAAAATAATTTTTATTTTTAGTAACATTTTAGTCAAAAGATGAATTCTGTTAAATCTCATTTGCTTTATTATTAGTATACTTATTTTAGGGAAATTAAGTAATCGAACGATAATTTAATTTTTATTTGAAGAAAAATAACCAAAAAAATATTTTTAACAAAAATAGTCATTTGGTTCAGGATGGGCATTTCAGACCAAGAAAAATCATTTTTCTCCCAAAAAAAAACATTTTAGACTGGCATTTCGAATTTCATGAAAAAAATAAATATAAAATAAAACTCTGGAATTTGAAGAAGTCCAAAATCCGATGAACAATTCCGAAATTTCGAGAAAAAAATCATTTTTTACTTAAATCTAAAAAAAATAAACAAACATAGTAAATATGAAGTATATATATGATATTAGTGTATATATCAAACATTTTATTAAAAAATAGTAACATTAAACACTTCGAAATAGACATTTCGAACATAAGTAAAGAGATTTCTTTTAAAATATGAAAAAAAAAAAAAAAAAAAAAAAAAAAAAAAAAAAAACTCTAAATTTTGAATATCAAATCCGGACGGAATTAAGCATTCAGGAATAAATGTTCATTTTAACATTTCGGAAGAAATATTCTTAGATAAAACGTTATGAAGAAAATAGTTAATTTCAAAAACCGAAAAAAAAAATTATTTTATTTAGAAAAATCATTTATATAAATTAAATTACTTTATTTATTTTTATTTTATATCATCGCATGATTAGCATTCTCTTTTCTTTGTTACGTGTATCTTTTCTGTAATGGAATTACAAATTGAATCGCTCAATATTCGATTGATTTTTAAATTACTTTTGATTAACAATTAAAACCACCATTAATTTGTTTAAAAATATATAGTTGGTATGTATGGGATACTCAACTCTAAATTGATTCTCTCTTCTTTATGAACTTTATTTGGTACTATGAAGAATTTTAATGTTTTTAATAGAATAATAATTGTGATTTATTTAATTAAAATCAGATCAACTTTGGTTGTGACGTCAAATCAAATGGATAAACTTTAAAATCCTACCAAAAAATTAAATGTGTCAAATCATCCGAGTTATATTTAGAATACCGACTCTTGAATGAATTTATTAGTAGAATCGAAATTGTTACATAAATATTTTTAAAAAAATAATGGTTAATTCGACCGGATAATGTCATGACAAAACTGCAAAAATGATTCCTGTGGTTTTTTATTTTATATGGTTATCGTCCAAACGTTTGAAAAGTTGTAGATATGGTCCTTTTCAACAAGTATTGTTGTGGTTTTGGTCCCTCATCTATTAGTTGGCTGTTAACTTCCTTAAAATAATAATTTTAGCCTATGAACCATTTTCGCAGTTTTGTCTTTTACCATACTATAAGGACCATTTTTGTATACATTCTTTTTTATTTTATTGAAGTATTATATAATAATAGATATTATTTTTAATATATAATATTATATATTAATAAATATTCTTTTGTTGGATTATTAATTTATTTTAGTTGATTTCGTTTATTTTTTTTTTGTTGGAATAATTATTTTTTATTGAATTATTATATATCAATACATATAGTTTTTAATAAATAATATTTATATCATAATAAATATTATATTATTGGATTATTAATTTTTTTAGTTAATTTTTGTAATTCCATTTTTTAATTATTTTTTATTGGATTATTACTTTTAATTTATTATTTTATTCATATACTAAATATTGTTTTATTTGGATTATTAATTTATTTTTGTTAATTCTATTTTTAAATTTTTTTGTCGAAGTAATTCTTTTCTATTGAATTATTATAAATCAGTACATATAGTTTTTAATATATAATATTTATATCATAATAAATATTAGATTATTAGATTATTATTTTCTTGCAGTTAGTTTTGTAATTTCTTTTTTTAAACTATTTTTATTGGATTATTACTTTTAATTTATTATTTTCTTCATATACTTAAATATTATTTTATTGGATTATTAATTTATTTTTAATTTATAATAATACTTCTTGTTAATTTTATTGGCTCCACCACAAAATCGTAGGATAAGCAAAATCGTCGTCTCTCATTATCGAAATTGTTAGGATCACTGCAAAACACCATCATTTCATGTAACTTATAATGAGAAACCATAAAGAAAATATCACCACCATCACTCGGTCACCACCACCACTTATAATTGTTATAGGGGTTTGTTGTGTGCATTATGTGAGATATGAAGGAATCTAGTGGATTATGAAGAGGTTGTCACAGGTGGCTACCAGCAACGCTTGGTGGAATAGGGTAGGGTATCTATTGAACCTCCGATGTAGGTGTTTGGATGTGATCCTACCAATTTTTGATGATGATAAGTGATACTTTTATGTATTTCGGCAACTTTGTAGTGCTAACAAAATTAAAAACAATTAATAATATATATTCAATAATTTAATAATTCAAAAAAAATACAAAAATTAATAATCCAATAATGTATTATTTATTATAATATAAATATTATATATTAAAATAATATTTATTGATGTATAATAATCTAATAAAAAATAATTGCTCCAACAAAAAAGATATTATAAAAAGAATCAACTAAAATAAATTAATAATCCAAAAAAAAATAATGTTTTGTAATATATAATAATCTCATAATATAATATTTATTATGATATAAATATTATATATTAAAAACTATAAGTACTGATTTATAATAATTCAATAAAAAGAATTACTTCGACAAAAAAAAATTTAAAATAGAATTAACTAAAATAAATTAATAATCCAAAAAAAACAATATTTAGTATATGAAAAAAAATTAAAAGTAATAATCCAATGAAAAATAATTAAAAAAAAGGAGTTACAAAAACTAAATAAAATAAATTAATAATCCAATAATATAATATTTATTATGATGTAAATATTATTTATTAAAAAATATATGTATTGATATATTATAATTCAATAAAAAAGAATTGCTCAAACAAAATAAAATTAAACGAAATCAACTAAAATAAATTAATAATCCAATAAAATAATATTTATTAATATATAATATTATATATTCAAAATAATATCTATTAATATATAATACTTAAATAAAATAAAAAAGAGTGTATGCAAAAATGATCCTTATAGTATAGTAAAAGACAAAACTACGAAAATGATCCTTGGGGTAAAATTGTCGTTTTAAGGAAGTTAACAGCCAACTAACGGTTGAGAGACCAAAACCACAACAAAACTTCTTGAAAATGACCATATATGCAACTTTTCAAACGTTTGGACCATCACCACATAAAATGAAAAACAACAGGGACCATTTTTGTAGTTTTGTCTAATGTCATTGTAGCACAATGACCTTTTGTGATTTCTTCAACTTGACAAACTTTTTTTTTGCGCATTAGGTCATCTATATTTTACTGTACATGTCAATTAAGTTATTAACGTTAGTTTTTAACCATTCCACCGTTAACTAGTTATCTAAATTACACGAATGGTCTCTATGGTTTAAATTTTTTTCGTAATTGGTCGTTATCAGTCATATTTTAAATCACACGACTAAAACGACCACAATTCTGAAACTCTAGGAACCAAAATGTAACATTGTCATCGTCTTCCCTAAATTCTTTCGTATCCCAACTTACCCGACGCTCCTTCAAAATCGATCAAATATGTTGAATCTGATAAATTCATTGTTATTCATAATTTGTTGGTATTAAGTTATTTTTGATACTTAAAAGCCTAATCAAATGTTAGTCACACTATTTTCTTACTTGAACCCGATGAAATCTTCAAAAACCCTACTCCAAATCGCCAGAGAGAGCGTTCGTTTGCACGAGGTACCACAGCTTGAGGACCTATAGTAACTTGAAGGATCAAACCGTCGAAATCCTGCTACCTAATTTCGACTTCGATCATACATTCGAAAGGAGGTTGAGTTCAGTTTCAGGTTTCGTCGTTTGGGTTTACCAGGTTGAGTTCGGTCGAGTTTTAAATTCGTTGTATCCGTATAATAAGCTAGCAGATGTGGTTCTACCGATATCAGGTGCTCTTGATGAGGGGTTTTGGTTTAGAATTCAAGATGAATTTCATATCCAAACAACAAATCTTCAAATATCTCAGAAGACTTACAAAGTGGAGCTTGAATTATATGTTTCGTTTCATGGAGACAATGAATTCTGGTACAAGAATCCTTCAAATTCGTATGTAGAAACCAACCATTTGGCCACCGGAGGAGCTCACGGGGCATACCGTGAAGTATTGGTGACGCTTAATGGTCAATTAGTCGGATCAGTGATTCCTTTCCCTGTGATATTCACTGACGGAATCAATCCTCTATTTTGGGAGCCTGTTGTCTCCATTGGAGCTTTAGATCTTCCTACTTATGATATCAATTTGACTCCGCTTCTAGGTTGCTGATGGTATCTCCTTTTAGCTTATTGATTCAAATCTACGTCTTTGGTTGGATCATACAGATGTAAACACTGAAACTGTGAAGTATGAAGTCTCATCAATAGAGATCCAATGTAAATCTGAGTTTGTACTCCTTGGTGGAGAATTTGAAGTAGAAGGAGAAAGGAGTAGTCAAGCTACCGCAAGGGTAAATTCAAGCTTCGGCGATCTAAAAACCCAATTTACCGAAAAAACCAAATTCAAGAGCAAGCTCAAGTTCAAATCAGAGGGAAATAAGAAAGAACTCGACCCACAGATCAATTCTTACACGGTATTCAATGTTACACTTTAGCCCCTAGAGTTTCAGAATTGTGGTAGTTTTAGTCGTGTGATTTAAAACATGGCTAATAACGACCAAATACGAATGAAATTTAAACCATAGAGGCCATTCATGTAATTTAGATAACTAGTTAACGGAGGAATACTTAAAAACTAACGATGATGACCAAATTAACATGTACAGTAAAAGTTAGATGAGCTAATACACAAAAAAAACAAAAACAAAAAAACAAAAACAAAAAATAAAAAACAAAACAAAATTAATCAAGTCGGGCAAATCATAATAGTTTTTGTATAATTTGTTCTTTCATATAATCATATTAGGTGTATTATACCGAGTTGATTTAAAATAAATAAATAACAAAATGGTAGAAAATAAGTATTTTTAAAAATAAAATTCCAAAATAAGGAATAAAGAAAACGTATTAAATACAATTTATTATCATATTTATTAAATTTAATATTTAACTTATATAAAAACAAATATTATGTGGTTTTTTAATTGAAGAAAACAAAACAAAAAATTTGCATGTGGATATTATTTATTTTCAAAAATATCATAAAATGATAGATATCAAAACTAATAAGATATTAATATGTTGCAAAATGAATCTTCACTTATTATAACAGATTACACTTTAGATTAACTCAAATGGAACTCAATTGATTCCTCAAAGTTTGTCAATTGTCTTTTAAAAACAAATTTGTTCTTGTTTTCATTTTGGTTATAGGATAATAACTCGAAAGAATAACGAATTTCAATTTTATTCAAATTTAGTAAAAAAAAATTCATATTTCATTTACCCATTAATTATTTGAAATTGTTAACATTTTACCCTTATGCCCGTCTAGAGTGGATCATATGGGTAAAATATATACAATTTCAAATAATTGATGGGTAATCAAGCACAAAACCAACTAAATATAAACAATGTTGAAACTTTGTTACCTTTTTAAAATAATAGGGTTACAACTACCTTCTCTTTAAAATAAATTTCATCCTTGAAATCAAGCTAGGTAAATAACAAAGGTGTAATCGAGTTCCTACGACATGTTAACACCTCTATGATGCTTCACATTGAATTTTGACTAATTTGACTTCTTTCTTATGCAATCTTTTGAGTTTTGAGATTTCTATCTAACATATATTTTGAACATCGTAATCAATATGGATGTTTGATGTTTTCTTCTCATGCTAACCATGTGGTATTACGAATACCTTGTAACTCAAGTGGTAGATCGAATCAGGTATGTTTTTATCTCATTCTTTCTAACACATTAACGGGTCGATGAAAACGGGAATTAATTTCTCACGCTTCCCAAATCTAATCAGTCATTTCCAAAGTGATATCATAAGCATAAATTTGTCTCCCAACTAAAAATCAATCGAACGTCACTTCTAGCCAACAAAAATGAGTTGTGCACAAAGCTTCAATTAGTGACATGCGAATAAATTCACTATTCCAAGTGCACTTAAGGGTACAAGAGCTTGATTTGATTAACAAAAATAAAATTAAGATAGAAGTGTGTTATGAAAATAGTACCAAAACCATATTCTTCAATTCCAAATACAAAACAAATCATGCATGCATACTTGGCCTACATAAGAGTTTCTGATTAACATAAACTAAATCAAAGCAAAATGAAACTAAAGAAGGTCATACCTAAAATATGTGACCTCTATTCCTCCTGCTTAATATCAAGACCCTTGAGTCTGGATTCCAGCTCATCATCATCATCATCACCATCACCATCCTCATCATTGTACTCTTCACCTTCAGGGTCATTTTCGTCCAAAGACCCAAGCAAATCAGGAGAATTCTTGAAAATCTCTTTAACATCTTCAACCCCTTCATCAGACAAAAAGTTACCATTAATATTCAACAGCTTAAACCCTGGTTTACCTACAACCGCCTGAGCCAAAACCCTTGCTCCAGCCCTTCGAATCTGATTACTGCTTAGGTCAACTTCAGTCAACCGTGGAAACTCATCTTCAAGCGCCTTGGAAATTACCATACTACCCTCATCCTTCAGTTCATTCTCAGAGAGATTTATCTTGGTTAAAGATTCTCTTTTGGATATCAGAAAAGCTGCTAAAGAAGAAGCTGATTTAACTGTAATGTCATTTCCAGCCATTTCAACAACTTCAAGAGGAGAACCAGAATTGTTGAGAGCATTCACAAGAACTGAAGCTCCTTCATCTTCTAAATTCAAGTAACTTAGATGGATTTCAGTGAGATTTGAAAAGACAGATATAGCCTTGCTCAAAGCAAGCCCGGCTTCCACACCAAACATATTGTCACGAAGATCAAGCTTTTTCAAAAGGGTACATTTGGAAATTGCATCAGATAGAGCAACACCCCCTTCAGAGCCAACCCTAGTGGAAGAACATCTGAAATCCTCCAAGATTGGAGATTTTTTCAAAAGTTCAGAAATGGCAATCGCACCTTCATCTCCAGTCATGTTGTTATGAAAATGAAGAGTTTTGAGCTTCTTTGTGGAAGGAATCAACTCACAAACTGCCTTTGCAGCTTCCTCTGAGATCCCATTGTTCATTAGATACAACTCCTCAAGGTTATTTTGGGAACTTAAAAGTTCACTGAATGCCCTAACACCCTTCTCACCCAAGGCATTTTCTGAAAGACATAGATACCTCAAATCAGATCCATCAAGAGCTGAAGAAAACATACTCATAACTTCAAGTGCTTCTTCCTCTGGTCTTCCAGCTATAAAATCAGATAAGTTGACTTCTTTTAACTGATGTTTGACCAAGGACAAAATGGGAACAGCAACACGAGCTGCATCCACCCCAAAGCTTGTATTGCTAAAACATATCTTAGTATACTTGTTTCCAGGCTCTTGAAGTGGTTTCAACAGTTGTTTAGTTTTTTCTGCATCTAAGAAGGATCGATCGCCTTTAGAAATGTCAAAAAGAGTTTGATCATTTTCTGTGATACTTTCAAATAAGGGTTCTTGATCTTCTTTTGATTTAGGGCCTCTTTTGATAGCTTCCACCATGAGTGTACTGGATGTTTTAGCATAAAGTTCAACAGAAGACTTTCCATCACCATCTTGTTCCTTTTCAAAGAGTTGGTTTGCAGTGGCAAAGGCTGAAGACTCTATTTGTTTAGCTTCTTCTTCAGCTTCTTCCTTGCTTAAAACACCATATCTTCTAGATAAGATGGATGGAGTTGTAAGGTTTTTTATTATACGATCTACAAGCACTTGTCTGGTGTTTTGGCTAGGAGGCCATAGCTTGATTGAGCGCACACAGTTTTGTTCAGCAGTATCCATGGCAAATAACCTGAAACCATGTAACTCATTTATATTTTGGTTCCTCTTTCATGAATAATAGAAACAAGAAGTTACTACTAATAGTAGCATCAACAAAATCCACATCATGTAATGATATCTGCTTTCCCAACAAACAAGCACATGGAAACAATCATATGTATTGTTCTAACAATCAATCTATTATGCTTTGATTAGATGAGAAACCTAGAAAAGAAAGAAAATACAGAGTGTCACAGGAAAATAAAGTATTCAATAGGACATTTACTCAAACTTTATTAGCCTCCATCCATCGAATTTATACACTTCTGTTTCTACATTTGATATAAATGCTTCAACTTGAGAGGTATTATTAGGATGACGATAATTATTTAAAGCTTTTGTTATGTTTATATATTATACCACCAACGAGCTTAATGTACTACATGGGTAAGGGTTTAAAACTAAAAAAAAAAATACAAAATTGTAGGAACCTTAGACAAATAGAAAGCAAGAACACTATAGACTGAAGGTCCTCTTCTGGAAAACTTCCTGAGGTCCCAATCTTTTTCTATGTTAGATCTTCCAAGTTCATTCACTGGAATTGGAAAAGAAAGATAACAGTCATACCCTGTTTCTAGAATCAAAACCTAGTGATGTGATCAAAAAATTAAAAAACATAGCTTAATAACAACTTGTAACAGCGCAACACGAAATAGCCTTTCCATTTTTCTTAGTTTTTATGTAAAAACTAGAATATGTTCTCATAAACTGATTCATCTGTGAGCGACGGACCCTAAGAACTAATCGAAAAATAATCATAGCTTGATCACAAATTGTAACAGAGCAATCTCAGTAGTCTTTTTCATTATACCTAGGTTTTATGTTAAAATAACTAGATAATGTTCTCAATAAACTACTTCTTCCGCGTCAAGAAAAAATTTATCATCGCTTTCATATATAGCCGACAATTAACTCGCTAAATTTGTTGCAAAACAACACAGAAGTAGGGTAAGTAACTTGTTTCAGGAAAAATACGATGAAATCGCATCTCTCGTAGACAATCTAGTTTCCAATATCAAAAACCCTAGATTTGTAGGAACCGATGCTTAAATTTTTTATTTTTTTAAAAAAAAAAAAGACCTCAAAACTCGATTTTCAACGTGGAAGAGTCGAAATGGAAACTGGAAAAAAAAAATGAACGGCGAGACTTACCGGTGGTTGAGGAGACGAGGAAAGAGTAGAGCTCCAATTAGAAGGCTTTAGGTGTTTCCACCGGAAAAATGCGACGAGAGAAAGAAAAGGGTTTATAGAGATGATGATGAGGGTGCGTGGAGTGAGTGGGCCCAACCGCTTTAATCATTCCCCGCTGTGTTTTGAAATTGAAACAGCCAAAATAAAATGATTTCCCTCCAATCCAAAGCCAATCTATAAGCTATAAATTTGTAATAATTGAAAATTTGGGCATTGAGATTTCTATTTTTACTTTTTTAGCTTAAAAAGAACTCGAAATAAAAAAATAAAAGTTTTTGCTAAAATAAAAACTTCTTTAAATAGCATTTAAAAAAATATTTTTCGTTATATTATAAATTGACTTAATTAACTTTCTTTTTAAAGCAAGGAACGTATTTTATATAAATCATTTTATATAATTCTATATTTTTAAAATTTTCTAACTATTTTTACGAGAACACTCACCCTAAAAATTAAAAGAAATAGAATACACTTATCCCATTCAATTCATTATTACATTAACTTTTCTTTCTAATATTTTTTTTTTTCAACCCATAACACATGAAAATATATATTTCTTGACTGTCACATCATTATTTTTAATTTAATTTATTTAGAAGATTAACAAATAAAATAAATAATTACATTTTTATAATTTTTTCAATCATTGAAATAAATTTATACCAACTTAAAACAAAAAATAATAATAAGCAATATTAAAATCACACTACATTAACATAAAATAAATCCTAAAACGACAATGAAATAACTAAAAAAACATATTACAAACAACAAACAAAAACTAAAGGAAATACTTAAATTCTAAAAAATGAAGGGTGTTTTTTAATTTATTTTTCACTAACTCGTAACGAAAATCTTTCATGTTATAGTGCTCACGATACTCATTTTTTGTTGTTTAAAACTTCTTCATCAGAAACTAGAGGCTCCTGGATATTCATCTTGTATAAGAAATAGCATTAAAATCTTTCACTTTTTTCTGTATAATAATGTTAGGTTGATTTTTATGCATCATTTAAGCTTATTTTCTTAATCTTCCATGATAGTTGTGTATATTTAGCATGCATTTCATATATTTCATTACATTGATGGTTTGGAACCAATTTACTCGTTTAAGTAATTTCTACAGGTTTATGTAAGCGGGTAATGATATCTTTGAGTCCTAATAGAAGTCACATGGAAGGCGTTGTAATTACATTTGAAGTCTCGTAGCAACATTCACCATAAAGCAATAAAAGAAATTGATTTAAACATTTTTTGAAAATTTGGTAGCAATGTATGGTCTTTGTAACATGAGTGGATCGAGGGATAAACTTTGTCCGATCGAGCTGAAATTTTACTGTGGCTTCATAACTTGTGAATCTTTAATCTTAATGGTAGAGATCGGATTTTGTCACTGTTTGATAGACGTTTGGGCCTCATGAACAACAGCAAATTATATGTCTAGAAAAGAGAGTATTTTGGTAGCCCATGTATGTGTTTTACATTACATGTTCCCATTTAAGCCTTTAAAATCAGCCCATCTTATGTCTTTTAAAATAAGACCAAAAAGTTGATTTCAAAATTTAAGGCCATTTTTAGCAGCCCAATATTGTAAGTGTAGTCCACTGAATTAAAAGAAAGGCCATGTAATACTCAAAAAAATTTAAAAAAAAAAATTAAAATTAAAATTAAAAAAAATTAAAAAAATAATATAAATAAAAAATGAACGGGAGACAAACATTTTTTTTTTGGGGGGGGGGGGGGGGAGGGGGGGTTGTTATCGCACAAGTGACGCATAGCAAAAGAGAACGTTGTCTTGAAGAGTTTTTCTAAGGTTATTAGCATCAAAACAATCTTTCATTTTTTGTTTATAAGTTTTAACTTTTTGTTGATTGTTTTGTAGTTTTTGGTGGTTTAGCCGTCTTAAACGGCTAAATCACCGGTGCCGACCATATGAATAACTTTGGATTTGCAAGTGAAGTTGATTATGTATCTTTTTTTTTCTTTTTATCCACATCATTTCTGTTAGAAAAAACAAATTTCATTGTCTTAATTCTTTTTTAACCTGATCACATCAATTAGGTTTTAGATGATTGTATTGATATGTTGATTGTTTTGTTACGTAATCAATCATTTAGTTAACTTAAGTAGCAGATAATGTTATTGACTTCCTAAAATATTGATTGACATTATGAAATTAATTGGTACAATTGTTGGTTTTTTAAGTTTATGAGAAAATCATTTGTGGTTGATATATTTGTTTGAACATTAATACAATTTTCATATAATTATAGAGAGCTTGTTCGGTAATTATGTAGTGAATTAGTTCCAACTGAAAATTTTGTTTTAATCGTAACTTTGTTGAAAAGATTGTAATCAAGTGTTAGACAAATAAGATTTATTAGTTGTTAAGCTCAATGATGAGTATGATCAACCTAAATATTATGTAAGACACTGTTGCACAATTACAACTTATGATAATGTTTTTCTAACAATTATACGATTATAATACAGACGTCGATTTATTTTTAGTTTATTATTTTTCAAGTTGAATTAACACATCCGGTTTTATAGTTTGAACTGTTTTTTTATCTAGCTAATTATATGATTTGATCGTGTGTTGTTATTCTTTATAGTCATTTTAGTTTTTTTATAACCCAATGTGTCATTCTTAACTCGGTTCATATTGGCCGCAAGAATTAGGGTTACTTCATTCTCGTTATTCAATTTGGAAAATTTGTAATTGTTTTATGAACTGATGCTATGTGACACACATCGAATTGGTTTTGTGATTTGGAAAATTCGTAATTCTTTAGACACCACCCCCATTTGGTGGCAAACTTGATAACCTCAATAATCGAATTGAAACTTTGGTTTGGGATATCGCATCATTTCAAAACCCAAGACAAGACTTCACGGACATAAACATAGCCTACAAGGAGATGCTCGGTAGACTCTGTACCGGTGGGACAAAAATGACAGGCAGTGGTACCGAGGTTAACTCCTCTGCGAGTAAGAGCAAACACAGTGGGGATGTGGTCCATACATGATCTCCAAATAATACTAGTGGTTTTAATTTGGACCAACTTCAACCACACTGTCGGATTGTTCACGCTACAAGTAACCTTATAATCAAATAATTCACTTGAGATTGCTAACATAGAACTCACCATATGTGGAAAGGTTAGACTTCTACGAATATGTTGTGTCTGTGATGATGAAGTTATCGAGAATGGTGCGGAGTTAGGTAAGTTCTTGGAGTCCTCGTGTTGTTGTTCAAGGCGGTGTTTCCAAATCCATTTAACTCCATATTGGGAGATATGATATGCAACAAGGCAGGATTTTAAGGAATCAAAATTTGACAGATGAGGGAAACAAGAGACGAAAGTACCCCCACTCGTCCAATTGTCGAGCCATAATAGAGTGTTATTCGCAAAGCCGACAATGCAAGAGAGAATTTGATCAAAACCCACATCTAAGCTTTCAAGTTCCAGAATGGGTTTGACAATGTTACCCAGACTCACCATATCGCTTTTTTAGCAATCATGGTTACAGGTTTCCTCGATATGTTATGTATCCCAGTAATAACATGTTCCCATAGGGTAGTGCTCGGTTTTAAGGCGTCATATCCATTTGAAGTGAAGTACATGGTTTATGTTTTTAAAGGATCTCACACCCAAACCTTCGTAATCTTTATTAGCAAGTATCACCTCCCATTTGACCCAACATATTTTATGCTTCTTGTTGTTCTCGCCCCACAAAGACCTTCTTCTTATTTTCTTAATCTCATTCAGAATAGAAGCAGGAGCCTTAAAGAGAGAAAAATAGTACAAAGGCATACTTCCCAAGATGCATTTGACAATAGTTAAACGACCTCTGAAAGATAGATATTTTATTGGTGATTTTAGTGTCACCATGTCATTTTAAGTCAGTGGGCGGGGTCGAGGGGCAGACCCCCACGGGATTTGGGGCAGCGCCCCAAAACCTCACCGAATTTTACATATTAGAACATAATGGAAAATTCAATTTCTTGAGGGTGATTATGGTAAAACTAACGAAACTCGTTAGTTTATGGTAACTCTAAATCATCATTAAATCCGGATTAACATTACTTACTTTCAAAGCAACTAATGACGGCTCAACCCTAATAAAACTCTAATCGCGTTTAATAAATAAACAACTCTTCCTCTACTGAAGAGGGTTACGATCATAAGATCTTGTTTTCATCAGACTTTCACAGAATCCTCTAGTATATTGGTTTACATCTTCTGTGCCTAGGAACGTAAGTGTCCACTTGGATTATCCTAGACTGATTTTTTTGTAACCCATACATAGGTAGAAATATCGGTTCGGAAAGTGATATCACGATCCAAGTTGATATCCAGATCTCCACCACAAACCCTAATTTTCCCAACATATTTCCATTTCCAAATTGAAAGCCTACCTTTGACCCGCTTGATCATAAGTTTCCAGTTGTGTTGAAGGGGAATATACGTACCAACTAGAACGCCTAAATAAATAAAGGGGAAGGGAGTTGTTTCACATCCTAAAACTTTAGCACAGTTGGAGACCTCCGAATTAGGCATACTGGCATACCAATCCCAAAAACTCTAGACTTGTTAAAACTCACCTTTAGCCCTGAGGCAACATGAAAGCATCAAAGAATTCTCGCCAAACTTTTAAAATTGGTAATGGACCGGTCACCGATAAAGATCGCATCATCTGCATGTAAAGAGATGTTTCTAAAAGGAGTTTTTTTTTTAATGTTTGGATTGGTTTTGTGGTGGAAAAAGTCAATAAGTTAAAAAATTTAAAAGTGTTTTGGCTAGCCTATACATATAAAATTATCATTATCAAAGTTAATAAGTCAATAAGTTATAAAGAATTTGCAAAAGTGATAAATCGTGACTTTTTAAAAACTCGTTTTCAGAATTTATTTTAAAATGTTTTTTTTCCTTTGCCGAAACACTTTTTAAAAACTTATTGGTTTCTCACGAAGTCAATAAATTCTCAAACATGCCATATATGATGGGTTTTGGTCATAAGACATCCTATGTGCTCATACAAACCCTAATGCTTGGATCTAGGTTTCTCTATCGTACATGCTTTGAATCCAAAACTATAAACCCTAATTCTAGTATATGAAATTGATATTAACATATGAATGAGTTTATAATTTTACCTTGATTGTTATGTAGCAATAACAATCCCAAATCTCCTTGAATTGACTTTGGAATGCTTAGAGTCACAAGTGTCACTCCTCTAATGGCTTACAAACACCAAGAGCAAGTGGAGAAGGTATAAAAAGAGAGGAGAGAGGTTAGAATTCGTCCTTAGGACTCCTTGGGAAAGGATACACGAATTCATGAGCCAATGGGTGTTTATATAGGTGTAGAGATAGGGTTTCAGTCATTATCCTCATCTAGTTGCTTATCCACAAAGCAACCCATAAGATAATCCTTGAATCCTTATCATAGTCGAATTCTAAGGCCTTATCACCTTAAATTCGTTCACACTAATAATAAGATAATCCTTACCTTATTTTGTAACTATCACATAATTACAAATCAGCCCCTCTAGTTTAATTAATTACACTTGATCACAAAATTAATTCCTAATTAATTATTGACCAATATTAATTAAACAAATATGATTTCGCCTTTAATATATTATTCTTATAACATATTAATAAATCATAATAACACATCTCTCTTTATTTATTTCTCCAATCAAGTTGCTTTGGTGAAGGCAACCCAAAAGGACCATGCACCATCGGGTCAAGTACATACCAAAATAGTTATGAACTTATACACTAATCCAACAGTCTCCCACTTGGATAAGTCTAATAAATATTATGCGTATGACTTCAGATCCTGGTCTGCAATCGTAGCTTTCCAAAGCCGCTGTCAACTCTGATCCTATCAGATACGTGTGTCCTTAGATAAGGGATCATATATTCCTCCATTCTAGATATCATATGAGATATGATTTCAAACCATTCTCTTTGTACTACTTCTCGATTTCTGATTTATGACGACAGACTAATTGAACAAATCAAATTAGCCCTGGCCCGGCCGAGCATTTACGTTTGTCATCACTAAACCATCGAGGGGGCCCATAGATATCGCTTTTATTCTACTTTGAATAAAAGGAATGGATAAACTTTGATACAATGCTTGCTTGCACTCACCCACACCGAATTACACACAACAATATGTTTTATAACACCAAGTTACTGGTGCGTTTACATATTATCAATGTGCAACCGATTGGCAAGATACAACTCACACATCTCGGTTTCAAGAATATAAGATGTTATCGTCTCACCAATCACTCGTGATACAATTCATGTAGTGATCCAAGTGAGCATGGGTTTAATCCAATGCTCAAATCATATTCGTAAGCACTCATGAACGTTGCAGCAAACATTTGCTTATGTCTAATGCTCTTTAGAAAATCCACACACCAATTCATGACAGTCTTCATTCATATCTACTTCCAACATATGAATGACTGTGGCCCGTTCGAATAATTCGATTATTCTTAATAAACTCAATTATTCTGGAAGTCAAAACATGCAAGGTGAAACACAAGAATAATACTAATCCCATATGGCCTCAAACCTTTGAGTATAAATGAAACTCCTTTTATTTATCACCATATCGATTATTCATTATTTGTCGTTTCGGGTAATCAACTTCTTACTTGAATTCCAACACTTGTCCCATGCTCCTAGCAGGCACACAATGTTTACCTATGGTTCTTACTTTTGTGAAATAGACAAATTGAACACATTTCCAATCATTCTCATTTTACAATTCCAAATCCTTTTTCATAAGTGTAAGAATATCAAATTCTTGCTACTTATAGAATATGCTAGATTCTAACACTTTATGCAACGATCCTTTCGTAATGTCACTGCACCAAAGTCACAAAGACTATTGCTAATGATGTTACAAAATCTTCTATCGGAGATTGTTACAAGACAATTCCTTAGATATTATGTCTCTCACTCAAAGTACATTCCTTTGAACATCTTTTTGCATAAAAGTTTCTAATCTAGTCATAGATTTTCAATATTTACTTCCCAATATGGACACGCTTCCATATTTTCCATATGACAACTTATTCTTAATAGAATCTTTTCTATTCATAATAATGTCAATATGGTCCATCCAATACCATGCTTCCAACTACTCACAAGCAACCAATCCTCGTCGAACTTTGGATTGTTCTTTGATAGTTGTTTAATTATTTTAGTCAAAACCAATTCTAGTCCCTTTTCCCTCTAAATGCGCTAGACATTTGGAAAATTTTAGAATGGTCAAACATTAAAGCATTTGCAATCGATCCTATACCCGAAGCGTATGGGACACGACGCACAATGTTTTATTTTCTATGTTCTCAAAATTCGAATTGTGAAGAGGAATGCCGTAATCATAATCGAAATTTTAAGAACACACTATGTACATTTGACTAAATTTATTAACATTCCACAACCTAATCCTTTAGATTTGAAATGAAGCATAATATTCTCTCCCTTAATTATAGCAAAACAACTTTATAACCCTTACTACTTTGTGGTGGTTGTCAAGGCCAACACAAATAATAACCCTAATTATTACACACTAAAATAGTGTATAGTGGTAAAGGGATCGAATCCACAGAGACTGGTTCAATTTGATAACTCTATGAAAAATCTCTTTGTAAAATACTTGGAATATGACAATAAATTAAAAATGGGGGTTTTGATGTTTTGAAATACTTGAAACAAACTAGAATTAACTATGATTTAAATAGACAATTGCAACCAAAAATAAGAATTTGATGTAAAATCAATAAGGGAAAGATGGTTGACTTAAAGTTTTCTCACTTTGACTTTTGATGAACATATCATTAGAATTCAATGGTGCAATACTTGTTTTAAATCCTCAATTTGGCTATAGTAATCCAAGGAGCTTGAGATTACCTAGACTTTTCTTAATTGTTGAAATGGCTAGAGAAGCTCATAACAATTTCCTTAGTCAAAGTCACTAATTCCGAATAGCATGTAATTAGTGAAAGTCAACTAGCATTAAGAACCAAAAAGTCACCAAATCCAAGAGGGGTCAAATGCTTTCACCACCATGTTGGAGGAAATGTTTTTATGATTGTGTGAAGCAAAAACAACACAAAAATCATTTGTTGCTTGCTAATTTGAGGATCCTTTACTTAATCAAGAAATTAGCCAACTAATCACCACAAACACATTTAAACTCATGAACTAAAACATACAAGTAATGATAACATGTTAAAACACAAAAAATTTCCATAAAGATTCAAGAACATGTTCATGGATTCTTCAACATTCAACAAAAGTTCAAAGGATTAACCAAAAGTCAACCAAGATTAGCTTAGCCAAGCATGGCTAAACCCAAAGAAACAAAGTTAGAGAAATTTGTACCAAACATTAAGCAAGAATCAAGAGGTAAAAATATGATGTTCTTCAAGGGTTCTTGGCCTTCAAAAGTCTCCAAAACTCCAGATAGAATCTTCAAAAATCGGGTGTCCAAGAGTATGCAAAAGATGGGCACCAACCTTCCTCAAATAGCTCAAAAGAAGAATTTCCGAAATTGCCCCTGCAGGAGGTTGCGCGACCCGCGTGCTCTTGCGCGGGTGGGTTGCGCGGGTGGTCCCTGGATGTAGCATCTTTGAGGTTTTGGGCCTCCATAGCTTAGCCCACTTGGCCCAGATCGAATCCAATCACCTCCTAGCCCATTTTCTTCAAGTTTTTCTTCATTTTAAGCCCAATTTGACCTCTCCAAATCCTCCAAAGCTCGTGAATTCGCCCGATTAATAATTTACGTACGCTTGAATATTCCCCCGCATCTTGCAAATTTAAAGTTTATTTCTCTCCAAGTCTTCAAATAATCATCAAGATCACTCCATGCATCATCGCCACTACCCATCAAGCCCAACATCATTTTTGTCTACCAAATCTCATTGCCTCCTATATGTCCCGAACACTCCCGCTCCGCTAGACCCGAAAACCTGCAATTATGCTCACAAGATTCGAGAGTACCCGAAATAGTCATAAAATAACAAAAAGGAAAATATGCATGGAAATTATCTAAATTATGAATGAAATATGCTAAAATAAACTATAAAAAGAAGTAATTAAAATGAAGCTATCAAATCACCCCAAGCTTAAACCTTACTTGTCCTCAAGTAAGACAAGACTAAATGAACTTGGGATGAACTACCCTAGAAATAAAAAGAATGGATAGAACCATGGAACCTGTTCGACGTTAGTCAACATGGTCAGAATTGATTTCGCTACTATCTCACAACTTTTTCATCCGATGACAATGGAACCATAAACCACAGCCAGGACAACTCCTTTAGGTGAGTAAGGAGGGATGAGCAGTCGCAGCCTCAATGGAACATGTATACAATGAAGAACATCTGTAGTAGGGAGAAAGCAACTGGATGGGCTCGGGTGGAGCTCTTTTTTAAGTGTACACTCTGATCTCACATTTGCCGGTTTCTCTCATGTGTAACTAGGTTTAATCGCTCGGGCACCGTTGTAGGAATCGATTCACTTGGTGTTGGCCCAAACCTCCCGTAGTATCCGACTCGACAGTCTCCCTAACATCACCAATTTGCGAAAAACAACTCGATCTATATACAATAAAACATACCTAAATAAATGAATATCAAACGCCGGGTGACCAAGATGTTGGGAAATTTGTTCAATAATTGAACCGGCCACCTATCTAAGATAGTTGCAACTGAAAATTTGCATGCTTCATTTTGTTTTTGTTTTTTTTTTTTTTTTTTTTTTGTTTTTTGTTTTTTTTTTTTTTTTTTTTTTTTTTTTTTTTTTATGAGAAAACCCTTTGACTCAAAATTTGGTTCCCAAAGGTGTGTAGGTGGAACCGAAAGGGTAATGATATAATCCGAATGGCCTAAGTGTGAAAATGACCATGTGTGGAGCATAAAGATGTAATGTAAGCTCCTTTTCAAACTTGTGGTTTTTCAAAGATAATGAAAATGTCCAAATGTGGACTAAAAGACTCTCTAAATTCTAAGAAAATCGCAAAAAGATATGGTGATGTAAAGAGACCGGATATGGATTCTACTCGGGGACAAGCACCAATGCTTCATCCTAACAGTTCAAACATGATCAAGTGTGATCCTCTCCGCGGTAGTGACCGCAAGGCTAAGAACACCCATTGCTATAGTATATCCTACAGTTGTTAGTATTGTATGCATAATTCTTCATGAAACTACCTGGCCATGATCACTTACCCCTTTAAGCTACCAGCATCTGATCCCAAGTATGAAATCCTAAACTGCAGCTAGTGGTCCCGATTCGATGGGTGAGATAGCAACAAGATCCTGGACCAATAATGACACAATAACTGTGAACCTGTTCCATGGCATCCAAGAGAGGTGAGAATAAACAGACAACAAAAATGCATGAATACTAATGTCTTAAGCTAAATGTTATGCAAAAATAAAAAATGGAAAAAGAAGAAAATAAAATCTTTTTGGAATTAAAAAAAATGAATGAAAATTAGCTTAAAACTAAAATGTTATGCAACCTAATTAAAAATGCATGAAAAAAATAAAAGGAAAATGAAATGCCCCACCCCAAGCTTAAGAACGAGCATTGTCCTCAATGCTTGAGGAAAGGGCGGAAAGGACCTAAATCGGGGGTCGGGCGGCGGAAATGCCCGTGGCGATAGTGGTAGTCCCACATATCCTGGACCTGGCGGGAAGTGTGAGAGGAGGACTGCTCCAATCGATCAACACGGCTTGCCACATCTAGGATGGCTCTCGAATTCTCTTGTGTTTGGGCGTCGATGCGTTGCACCGTGGAGAACATTGTGGCAAATTGGTCAAAGAACATGGGGGGAAATATGGTGGGACTTCGTGTCCCTCCTGCTGATGCAGCTGGTCAAAATGATGTGGAGGGGCCTGGAATTGATCATGCGGGAACATCGGCTGCTGCATCGAGGGCTGGTCAAAATGATCCTCAGCTTCGGGCATCTCGTCGTTCTCTTCGTCATCTTCTTCCTCTTGTTGCTCTGCGTCGTCACCCTCATCATCACCGAATTCTGGGAATACACCTGCTTGGGTCAATTGATCTGGAGGAAGCCAAGTGTCGGGGTCGCCTGTATCGAATGAAGAACCGATCCAACTTGGCAGGATGTAAACCAGGGCTTTGTCAGAGTCTAACCAACTGTACGTCCGGGTTCCCCGATCGAGAAACATCTCCATCCGGATGAGAGTGTCACAATCTAGCAGGAAGTTCGGTGGGGTGTCGACAGGTATGTACTCGGGATCCGGGAAGTCTAGGCCGACGGCTCGACCTATGATCGTGATAAGTCCCCCGATGAAAAATTTCCCCTGAGGAACGTTGGCGTATGGAGTCATATTTGTCTAAAAAGAAGCCTGAAAAACTGAGGGAAGTGCACGCCTCATGCTTCGGAGGAAAAATAGCTCACATCTGTTGATTTGACGGGCTCGAGACGCCGAAGATACTCGTCGTAAGGACTCGGTGAGCAATTCGCCAATAGGGGTGAACGATGTGATTGGCTCGCTGTCGGCTTGGGTTGAAGGTTGGGAGACCGGAAATTTGCATCCAAAAGTTTGCATCAGGGTAACGCAGAAAATCTTGGTACTCTTGATTTTGGGGGCTGATGCGGAATGGATCGTCTATACCCATGATAGAATCAAGTTCTTCGTATGTGAGTCTATGATGCTCCCCTTTCAACTGGAATGTGAGGACTTCCGTGTCATCATCTCGTGCATATGTGCTAAGAAATTCCATTGTGGGTTCCTCGTAAGTTCTGTCACAAAGTCGAAGAAAACCACGCCAACGAGTTTTATGAACAAATGGTATACACCATCATGCACCCAAGCTTTTTCATGGACTTTTTATGGTAGAATTTTGTCGGCCGGATTGCGCGACCCGAAGATTGGAGCGATAGGTTTTGATCTCAGCATTTGTAAGGGAAGGATCGCTTCCCTCTTCTCCTCTTTTTTTTCGTTTACCGGCTGCTTTGCGTGATGGACCGGCGGTATCCTTTTGCGGGTTAGGATCGATCGATGATCCATGGGTGCGTGTCCGAGCCGTGGTTTTGCCCATTTTCGAAACCTACAATATCAAAAACAACTTCACCAACGTAATCCCTCACCTCACCACTCTCAAATCAATGTAACTACCTTTAGACCGAACACACAAAAAAAAAATCCAAGAAATAATGACACCCAACTTTTGACAATGTAAAATGGTTTCAACAACACCACTCGGTTAATTCGATAATCCTAACAAAAATTCGGCAGCAATATGAGACAAAATGAGAAAATCCCAACCAAAGTTTAAATAATTTTTTGAACAAATTTCCAAGCAAATTAACCAATCTCACTTTCTCAAATCAATGTTTCCAAATAAACCGGGCAACAACTAACGATCTT